AATTATAATTTAGGTAGCGTAGAGTGTCATGTCAAAATTGTGTAATTAGGCTTGATTTATATCATTTAAGCTTAAATGGATATGTTGTAAATTGTGATTAATATTTAAAAAAATCGACAAAGTGTTTGAACATTTTTTGGAGTATTGGAATGGTATTCGCTAAACTTTGCTGTATAATTTTAAGCATTTTAACATATTTGTATTTATTTACACTAAATGTATAAGCCCACGTATAATAATTTATAAAACTTAATGGATCTGAGATATATAATCAAATACTCATAAATTCTATTTGCAGATTTAACCGGACAAGTTGGTAAGTTTAATATATGGATTTATAAATGTATTATTTGAAACAGGCTATAAATCTAATTTAACCAATATAATAAGAGTATTTGGATTATCGAGATTGTCATTTTGTGTACAATTTGCGGATTAGTCACCAGTCATTGAAATGATTTGAGGCAGGCGCGCTTTACTAAAAATACGCGTAGACGAAATGCATTAATTAAACTAATTGCAATTTACGACTACAAATCTAAATTGTAATCTAAAATCGCGATTAAATTGGAATCATCGCGCTAGACAGTGTCAAGAAGGGTGGTAGGGAAAACAGGAGGGAGGTTGGGGTTGGGTGGGGGTAGGGGGGGTACTGTGAGTAGTGGATCACGTAGGGGACACACGTCGCTAATCGGCTAATTGGCAGCATGTGAACACGCGGATATTGTCTATGGTAGGCTGGCAGACCGAGCAGTCACACAGTTTTAATACCCATGCATAGATATAGGTACTTGTATATGTACACTGAGAAAAAAACCCGAAGACTAGCATTATTTTGGAATGAATAAAGTCAGCTTGTTCTCAAAGTATTGCGTATTTAGTAAATAATTAGTTTGATTTTAAATTGTATTTTTAAATACCTATTTTTTTAAAATACAAACTAATAGTTTCTAAATTAAATAATATAATATTTTCTTTAAATCTAAATAGATTATAAAACACTTGCGTTAAGTAAAACAAGAAAATACTTGTAAAAATTATTTGATAATTGCGTATAAAGTTTTTTTTTTTTTTTCGTTATGTTTAAGAATAGAGCACTTGAATTAAGCAAATGAACTAATCCCGTTTTTCGCTGAGTGTACGCACATAATATGTATATATAGATCTCTGGGGCTTATACTGCGCCAATATTAATTAAATTTTGCTAGCAAGAGTTCCTGCAAGGCGTTTCCCGCCCAGTTTTAATTCGTTTGCATGCTTGGCCAAGCAGAAAAACAACAACAAATTGACATAATGATCGGGCAGGCTAATGATCAACATCATCATCATTATCATCGTCTTCTTTATTCTGACTGCTGCACAATTTGTGGCGCCCCCGTTTTACAGACAATTTTTACATTTACTTTTGACTTTGAACTTGTGTATGCGTATGTGTGTGTGTGTATGTGTGTGTGTATGTGTGTGTAGCTGATTATTGTTGTTGTTGTGGCTATTATTATGTCCCCCTCTTTCAGCTGCGCTCTGGGTCACAGTGCCTTAGAGTTAAGTTCGCACAGCTCTTCATCGGCATTCGCATGTTGTGGTTTTTTTTTTTTTTAATGGATGCTGCATGTTTCCTGGTCAGTTGTTACCCAGTTGCCCACTCACTAGAGCGACCGACGACGCGTTTGACGTTCAGCGTTTTAAATTTAGCAACAATAAGCAAAAAAAAAAAAGCAGTTGGGCTTTATATATGGACCGACATTTCAATTGCGACGGCTATTTTTAGTCATTGTCATCAAGCGCGCAAAAAATTGTATTTGTTGTTGTACTTTTTCTTTAATCATTATTTGCATATTGAGCGAAATGTCGACAACTACTGCAAATGGCAAACAAATAGTACGTGACTTGTTCAATAACTTTTTTCAAACTGCATATGCTTCAGATTTTGCGGCAAGCTCAGTCTCGAAGGGGCATGCAAGTGAAATATCAATATTGATCGATATATTTTTTATGTACTTATTTAAAACTAAACTAACTATTCATTATTGAACTTAACTCAAATTATTAAACAATGACTGCTAATTATACAGCTCAATTTTTATTATTCATAGTTCACAGCTTTTACAGTACCGAGGATTATTATATATAAATTATATCAATATTTTATATATAATTATTTGTTTTGAAGCAGGAAAAATTCATATTTTTCCATTTCTTCTGCCAAAAATTACTTTTTATTGTCTTTTAATTTTTTCCTAATTTTCTACAGTTTAATGTAGTTGTTGCAACTAGGAATACTTAAGAGAAGAGCGTGGTTAGTGCTGGGCACTCTCGCACTCCCTTAATAACTATGTAGAGTAGACTACTCACTGCTTGGCTTCAAATTAAAATGCCATAAATTCAAAGTTGATTTTTTTGTAAATAAATTGTTGTTATTCATGTCAATTTCATGCGCATTGTCTCTCGCAATTTATAGTTACGAGCACTTCAAATTTTGGTGTATAATTATAGCTAAAATAACATCCTACTGTTGAAAGTTCATTCAACTAAAGCAACCTTGGTAATTACTCAAAGCAAACGCAGGTGGAGAACATTTATCAAATAAAACACAAAACACATATTTTAAAGCAAACTTTTATTGAAATGCTTTGCAATGATTTTGCACACCTTTCCAGAGAGCAATAGACGCGTGTCCTCGCCTTGAGCTGCGCTACGGCTAAGTGGAAATAAGAATTGAATATCTATCTGATCACTAATTGAACTGAACACATGAGCTATGTTTCATATACATCAAATTGACACTTTACACATTTTTTGCATTTTTTCAATGAACTTTCACTATATGTATATATAAATATATATATATATATATATATATAATTGCAGACACGCAAACGCTTGCTTAAAAATACACATTGGGGAGACAGCGAAAAAAAAGAGCAGCCATGACGTATATACACCCAGAAAATTGACATGAATTTTAGAAAATCACCCTGAAAATTCGAAAGCTTTTTGTTTTTAGCATTAATTTCTAAAAATATTACAAATACTTTTTCTATTTTTCAGAAATATATATCTTAATAACAGAAAATATTTATAAAAAGTTAAAATACAACCCTTTATTTAACAAAGAAAGTAATGAAATTTTAAATCTTAAAATACTAATATTTATTAACAATATAAGCAACAAAAGAGCTAATTTTTGGAGTTCTTTGTAAACTACACATACGAAAAATGAATTTCAGAAAATGTATGCTGGAATTAAGAAAAGAAATAGGCTGGTTTTTACAAATATACTTTGTGGTGAATTTATAAACTTCAGGGTGATTTTATTTCTCTGAGTGTATGTATGTATTAAGTGTTGTCTGGTTTAGTTGAGTGCTTGTCGGTTGTACGACACAAGTCTATAGTAGGGGTATGACGATGTCATTCATTCACATTGATTGGTTGGTTCATTTCAGGCAGCCGGCGTTCAGGGTCCCAGAGCGACGTCATCTCTCTTGACGGCATTTTACAATGTGTTAATGATCTGCATAAAATCAAAACGAATTTGCCATAAACCCTGCAGCGATTTGCTTGAAAAGATTAACTTGGCAACGCCTACACACGTGCTATAAAATGTGGCTCTAATTGTTAGATTTGACCGAACTCAATCACTTGACTCGTGTTGCACGATCTGTGCAACAAATACGATGCGATTTGTGATTTTTCGCACATTTTGCATCTGCACTCCCGAATCTATATATAAATATATGTATATATATATATATAGTAGAGAAGTACCAGTAGTTGTATGAAAAGAAAGCAAGTTTGTGGCAATAAACAAAAAGTTAAAAATACATTTCGTAAAGGCTGCGTGCAAATTGTTAAGAATAATAATAACTGCGCAGCTTAGCAAAAATGCTGCTAAATATTATCCAAATAGAGATTAAAAACTTTGTTATGCCAGGGTTGCCACACTAAATAGTTAACGAATTATGTGTATAGACAACCAATACACACTAAATCAAACTGAAAAGTGTAAACTAAAGGATAATGGATTTCAAATAGAACTCTTCAAATTGACAGAGTTGATCATAAATGTGAACATTTGAATGGGTTTTTTTTTTTTTGCTTTTACTTTTACTCTATATAATATAGCTTATTATAAGGTTGTAAAATTTCCGAACCCTGAATTTATGTGTTAACCTATATATTTTTATGGCATTTACTTGGAAATTAAATGAATACGTTTAACAAGAATATACATAGATTGTCAGCAATATAGATAAATTAAATTAATTCTAAATTTCACACACATATTTTTTTATGTTTTAAAATCAAAATCAAATTTATGTTGAACCTTAAAATAACGTGAGTTATAAAAGATATATTTATATACATTGAATACATTGAAAAAGTTATATATCATAAATTGCTTTAAATTAATTGTAATTTTTACATAAATATCTCTCTAAATATATTTGTGATAAGACTAGATTAAATATATGTATGTATATTTATGTAAAGAACTCATATTACCAGATTACCCAGATTACTTACAAGCTTCAAAGTTATTTATGCAGTACATTTCTGGGTAAAAAATCAAAAGTACCGCAATGAAACAGAAAGCTACAAGTCGTCAATAAACCAGTACTAATTAATTTAAATTTTCAATCAATGGCAAAAGTCAGGCAAATTAGTTTAGACAGTTGTCTTAACTCAGAAATCCCCAAAAAATCCACCCACTAAACTCGGGGCACCAATACCAATAGCCCGATTTGTAGTTGTAGTAGTCATGAAATACTAGTAAGACACACACACACACATGCACACTCACATTCACACACACACACATTCACACCCAATGTAGGCAGTAAAAATTTCGCACATTTTTTGTGTTGGGTTCGTCGCAGTTGACGCTGTTGTCGTCGTGTTCCGCCATTTGTAGCGCTCATTTAATTTTTTATTGTTGTTTATTGCTTAACAAAATGTTCATTTTAAATGTTTGATTACAACGATTTGTGAACTTCAGTCGAATTTCTGATTTTCACGCTGGAGGAGCGACCGCTAGCAATGCGATTTTAAATTGCACGCGAATCGATTGCGGCCTATCAGTCGCCCAAATCAGATCAGTTTCAATAGCCACTTCAAAGTGTAATTCAAAGTGTACAAATCGATCATCGAAATCGGCAAAAATGCATTTCTTAAATATGATTTGCCTCAAGCAAAGTGGGTTCCCAATTTCATAATAAATTCATTTCAAATAACTGTGCTGAAAACTCATTTAAAATTTGCATTGTGTGACTAACCAATAAATTACTTTTTTTGACATGAAAATGTGCATTTATCATTCGTAAGCCAAAAATAAAATATTACCAAAATATAAATGCTTAAATTAATTGTGTTGTGTTTATCTGTTATTATAATATTGATTTTGAGCTTTAAAATTTAAAGTGATAAGTTTTTCAAAATTGCATTCGATATTGTAAAGCGTATTCAACAGTTACTGAAATATAACAATTTTTTTGTAGTTTCCAAAGTACAAAATAAATCCAATTTTTATTTCAAAAAATCTTAAAACAGTTCTCAAAATTTGTTTTTATTTAGCTCTAAAGTAATTTTGAAGAGTAGTTTAGTAATTTCAGTAATACCCAACAGTTATTAAAACAACATTACAAAACAAAAAGTTTGACTTATAAAATAACATGCAGATATACATATGTTGAAAACAGAGCAGGCTTGCTGAAATTAATTTTGATATTGGGTTTGTTTAACAAAATCTATATTTTCTATCCAATCAATGAAATTCTTGCAGTTTAGCAATAATATTTTAGGGTATTATATATATTTAATTGGGAGGCTATATCAATAAAATGTTTACTTTTATTGTTATCGTCAATCGGTTTGTATAGTTATCGATCAAATGAAATAAACTTTATCTGCCTGTTGCATATAAGAACTTATATTCCAAAAATGTCAAGCATCTCGCTCTGAGATCGACTTGTTTGTACAGACTGGTGAGTATATGTATATATATATAATATATAACATATATACATATATATAGATTATACTGATTGCTAATTATGAACATGAATCACCGATAATAATCGAATAATAATAATAAATTTCCATAGTTGTACATACGTAATTCTCTGGTATACTAAATACTGTGTTGTGTTTTCATACGTATAAGGTAACAGCCTCAAAAAGTATTTCATAACAAACTACATTTAATATATATATATATATATATATCTATATATATATATATATATATGTGTGTGTGTGTGTGTGTATGTACGTATTTATATAGTAGTCGACTTCTACATGTCAAATGATGAGGTCAGTTGACAAAAACAACGTAATTAATAAAAATAACGCTTCTTCTTGTAATGCGCTTTTAACTAAATAAAAATTATTTTGAGGTAAAAAGATTGCCAAATTTCTATTTGAATGTCAGCTTTTTCCCGGCATTCGCACCTACCGAGTAATTAGTCAAAATCATTAAAAATAATAGAAAATGCAACAGCTAATTGCAAGATTCAATTTATTTTTACGTTACGCGCTGAAACGCTTAATTGCTTCAATTTAATTTCAAATATTTGAGAAGCGAATTCTTGAAATTTGAAGAACATTTTTGAGAATCTTTTAAATTAAATAATATAGGTTTTATTTAGTTTTAGGAAACTTAATAGATCAAACTTTCTGCAGACACTTCCAATTTGAAAACATATATATATATATACATTAAAAACATAGATATATGAAAAATAAATATTATATCCATAGTTGCCAATATTAGATCGATATAGAGACCCAAGAATGACATTTAATAATATTTTAAAATATGTCGCTTTGTAACGATATTTTATATATTTATTTAGTGAAATTAATGTAACAAAAGAAATCAAGATAACAACGTAATGCTTTTAAAAATGATATTCACATAAAAAGTTCAAGCACAGCGCCACATTGCATTTAGCTCGTTAATGTGTCAATATTAAAATTGTTAAGATTGTGCATAAAAAAAAATTGCCTTGTCTATAAATAGGCTGTTCATAAATGCAAAGTGCAATAAACGCAAAATGTGTTGACGCACTTGTACACACACACACACACACATGCTACAGGTATTTACATACAGGCTACACGCACTCCGCACACATACACAGTAAAGCCATCGACTAGCCGATCAAGATCACCTTTTTGTGTCTCTCTCTGTGCCACTCTCTTTGGCCAGTGGATTGCATTGGAAATGATATGCAAAGCCGCACAGCGAACTCCTCTATAAATAAACGCACGCAGAAATGAGAAATGTTTCGCGCGAATTTGTATTTTTATAGTATTGTTGTGTGGCGCATAAAAATGCACAGCATTTGCCGTCTTGAGTTAAAAATGTAGACTCTAAATAAAAATACATATAGAGGTGTTGATTTTGATGTAGATGATATAGTATGATAACTCGTACAAACATATGGCGATCCTCAGAGAAATGCGTCTGTGCCATATGCCAGAGACACATAAACTAAACCATTTGCCACACCGCAAAGCGATTCACGAATTTTCCATGACGGCTAATTTTAACGTGGATACATAACGTATCTCAAATAGAGATAGCTGTACATGTGCGAGTGTGTGTGTGTGTACTAGAGCAAATGTATGGGGTTTATTTTGAATATATTGTATTTTTGTCTGTGCTCCATTTTTTTTTTAGCTCTGTTGTTACTAATTGTATTCGTTTGTTATAATCGCTGCTATTGTTGTTGTTATTGTCAGTACTGATAAAACTCTTGTGAAATATAGAAGAGTAACAGTCGCTAGCCAGATGGAACAGTGTACACATTCGCATCATAGAAGTGAAGCGCTTCACAAATGTTCTTATTAGAAAAATAATATATATGCTAACAAAATAACTGATTGTAAGAAAATAAAGGTTTTTTTCTTCAACATATTGCGTGTATACACATAATGTATACACACAAATATATGTAGAGATAAGTATGAGTAGAAGCAATCAACAGCCAATTGAATAATTAAAGCACGAAAAGAAAGATGACAACAGTGATCAACTGTTGATCTTTTGAGGTATGCGAACCACTGTGCAACCATATCAGAGAGCTCTCTCTCTCTCTCTCTTTCTGGTTTGTTAAGCTCTCTCGGCGCCAGTGTACTGCATTGTAGTAACCCACTCCCTCCACCTCCACCTTCAACTCAGTTGTTGATATTTGCTCAATACATTTATTTTTGTAGTCTAATGTACTTTTTACTTTTTGTCTCTATCCAGTCTCTTCGCACAATTGTTGTGCGTTGTTGTTGTTAATGCTTCTGCTGCTGACGTTGACGCTGACGTTTCACGCTTTGGCTTTGGGGGCTATTCCGCCAACGGTTGCGCCAACGTTCGCTCAGTTCTTGCTCGACGCTGAATATAACCGCGTCGAAATCGCATCGAGCACAAAGCGGAAAGAGAAAAGACAAACCAAAAGTAAAAAAAAAACGCGCGCGTGCGTTTGCTGATCGTCGATCGTTGTGTGAGTGTGTTATGTGAGAGAGAGATAGAGGAAGAGTAGAGGGGAAGGAGCGCACTGAAAAAAAAGTAATTACCATAGCAATAGCAATGAAGAAATCATCATAGTTGTTTTGCGTAAATTGTTTTGATTTCTTTTGCGTGAAATCAATAAAATATCGAATATCGCAGTGCAACAGCAGCAGGCCCTAATCGAAACTAATAGAACTCTTGTGATCGCCAGCAATTTACTTACGATCGGTCGTGTGACAACACAGCTTGCTTATCACATTTTCACATGATCGTGTGACCATCCCCAGACTATATATATACATATATATATATACCATATATATATATATGTATGTATATTTATTTATATATGTATATACACCTCCCCCATCCACACCAGCTCCCTTTTCTTGTTTAATATTGATTCATTGTGATTTTACTTAGCGGCGCCTGGCAACGATTTCATATGGGTTTTTTTTTCTGATTTTTTGTTTTATTTTCACTTTGTTGCTTTTGGCTTGCTGCTATTTTAAAAATTCTCTTTTCCTCAAGATGTGCTGTTGCTTAAATTAGCATACATATAGGAGTGTTGTTTGGCCATAACCTTCGAGTGTTTTCTTTTACTAAGCAAAAAAAAAAAAGAAAGAAAAAAGAAACGTTTCCTGTGCGGTTAACCCTTCCGCACTACCTACTTGGTAATGTGTTTTGTGTTTGTTGTGTGTAAACATTTGTTTTATATTTTTCTTTTTTATGTGCGTTTCCCATTATTATGGCTAGTAAATGGCGAAATTCAGTAAATGCTCAAATTGTTTTTGCTTTTCGTTGTGGTCCAATTGGAGCACATAAATTCCCCAGACGGACGACGCACCCTAGATAATAATAATTATTATTTTTATTCGCTCTTTCTTCGATATTGTCTTATCTTTAGCTATAGCTATATAAGATATATGTATTGGGGTTGCCACTGTTAACGAATTGCAGTTAACGGTTAACGAACCGCACCCATTTCTTCTTTGATTACAACAGTGTCTCAAATCGTGCATACCCCACACCAGTAAATCAACATCAACAAGCTAATTTCCAACTCTATTTGCAATTGTATCACATAAATTTTTCTATGTGTATGTGTACCGTAAACTATAAACTTAATTGCACTTTCCACACTTTGTTGGTGTTGTTGTTGTTGTATCTAAAAATAGCTGAACGCGGTCATTGGTCCCTCGCACACCTCCGCCTCGACTCAAACTGATTGCGCCAAGTCAATTATTATGCTACAGCGCGGATCAAAGAGCCAGCGACAGTATGTGAGTCGGAGAGAGACAGAGAGAGAGAGAGAGAAGAGATGTACACTATTTATTTGCCACGAGTGTAATGTACAGTCAGCGTCTAATATTATGTGAACACTCTCATTGGAAATGCAGTTGATTCATCAAATCCACAAAAAGCAAAACACATCGCTTATCAGATCACTGGGTGTGGAAAAGTTTTTGCTTCTACTCGATTTATCAGTCATAAAAAGGGCGCCAGGTCTCTCAGTACATATATACATAATATATACATCTGTATGGCATGTGCGCACTATTGTAAAAAAATGTTGTTTACTTTACAAACGTGCGAGTGAATCCCCCGTAAGACGTTGTGAATGGAGCTTATGAGAGCGGAGAGAGCGGCCAATTCGCTCAGCTGTTTGTGTTAACAACAAAAGAGGCACAATGGGCATTTTGTTAATAACTGTTAATAACTGTTTTGGCCCCGTCCAAGATACAACATACTTAAGCAATCAGGTTTCGACCCGTTTCGAAGCATTTTCAAAAATTCATAGAACACGTTTCGACTAATTTCATATGACAACAAGCGCTTTGCAAACAAGTTGGTATCTGCTTAAATAAAACTCAAGCAATCTTAGAACCTCCACTTATATTGTGCTAAGTCACACCGAGTTAACATATTTCGATATCTCTTATCTTACAATCGAGTTTGACAAACATCATTTTTCGCCAAGAGATTTGCGATTCAGTTTGAAGAGAATCCTTAGCACACATTTGTAAATATGTAGATTTTGTTGCATGCAACTCTTTTTGAACTAGGTTGCCTCTCTACACTGCTTCGTCGCTTTGCGCTCTTTGAACATATCTATTTTGTTAAATTGTTGCAAGGTTGTTCCTCCTACTTTACACGTACTCTCTTTTGCTCTATTGCAGAAGTTGCATACTTCGCCAACAACAACAACAACAGCAGCAACAACAATAATTACAACAACAACAATAACAGCGACAACAAATTCGCAGCTGAGCAAAATTCAACAGGAAATCGTGTCTTTGACTGCTTTGGCAACAAGCAGACGGCAAAGGAGCAACAGGAGATCGAAGGGGATCGAAGTGAGCGCAAAAGTTCGAGCAGTTACAACGTGCAACAGAGGAGCACAACAGATTGCAGCAATCAGCACGCCAGCTACAGGCAAAAGGACACCGAGTTTGGCTGCAACAACAACAACAACCAAATCAACAGAGAGGAACAGCAGGCGGAGCCAGAGCAGAAACAGGAGCAACAGCAAATCTCAGTTGTTATTGCCACACAGCCTAGGCGATCTCAGTCGGCAATCTTGCAGCAGCGAAGCACTAACAACAACAACAACAAACGTCCAGGAACACCACACGCCGCCATCAGAAGGATGACTTCGATACCAGCCGTGTCGTCCAGCAATAATGTGGCTGCTGCAGGCGCTGCCAGTGCCACTGCACCCGACAAACAGCCATGGCCCAACTCGAAGGATGATTACGAGTTGCGTGCGGTGATTGGTGTGGGTGCCACAGCTGTGGTGCATGGCGCGTTCTGTATACCGAAGAACGAGAAGTGCGCCATCAAGCGCATAAATCTGGAGAAATGGAACACCTCCATGGATGAGCTGCTCAAGGAGATCCAAGCGATGTCCTCGTGCAATCACGAGAACGTTGTCACCTATCACACATCGTTTGTGGTGCGCGAGGAGCTGTGGCTTGTGCTGCGTCTGCTCGAGGGTGGATCACTCCTTGACATTATCAAGCATCGGATGCATGCGGCCAACTGTAAACAGGGTGTCTTTGATGAGGCAACGATTGCCACGGTGCTGAAGGAGGTGCTCAAGGGCTTGGAGTATTTCCATTCAAATGGGCAGATCCATCGAGATATCAAGGCGGGAAATATACTCATTGGTAATGATGGCACCATACAGATTGCTGATTTTGGTGTTAGCGCCTGGTTGGCCACCGGTCGAGATTTGTCACGACAGAAGGTGCGTCATACATTTGTCGGCACCCCGTGCTGGATGGCGCCCGAGGTGATGGAGCAGGATCATGGCTACGATTTTAAGGCGGACATCTGGTCGTTTGGCATTACGGCCATTGAGATGGCAACGGGGACGGCGCCATATCACAAATATCCGCCGATGAAGGTGCTCATGCTGACGCTGCAGAATGAGCCGCCCACGTTGGATACGGGCGCCGAGGATAAGGATCAGTATAAGGCCTATGGCAAGACATTCCGCAAAATGATCGTCGAGTGCCTGCAAAAGGAGCCCTCGAAGCGTCCCACTGCCAGTGAGCTGCTCAAGCATTCGTTCTTCAAGAAGGCCAAGGATCGTAAATATCTCACCCAAACCCTCATCCAGAATGGCCCCAGCATGGAGACCCGCGTCCACAAGGCGGCCAAACGTCAACCGGGCGCCTCGGGTCGTCTGCATCGCACCGTCACCGGCGAATGGGTGTGGTCCAGCGAGGAGGAGGATAATGGCAGTGGCCCCGGTGGACGTAAGCATCCGTCATCCGATTCCGAGTCCGAGGATCGTCCGATTAATCGGCTCGAGCGTGCCGCCGACAGCTCGGACAGCGATCGGGAGGAGACAACACCCGATATTACACGCAGTGCATCCTCGGCAACGATGACGCCAGGCGCAGCGGGCGAAGCAGCTGCAACAGTTGCCCAAGATTTGGCAGCTGGTCTCGCACAAATGCCGCTGCCAAGTGAAGAAGGAGCTGCCGCCGCCGGAGCTGGTGCTGGTGGTGGCGAGGCACCGCCAGTTAATCTGGTGCTGCGAATGCGGGATCTGCGACGTGAACTGCACGATATACGCTTCGAGTTTGCCGTGGGCAAGGATACAGCGAATGGCATTGCCTGCGAACTGGTGGATGCTGGCCTCGTCGATAGGCTCGATACGCAATCGATGGCACTGCATCTGGATCAATTGATTGCCAAAAGCGCCACCATGAAGACAATAACGTTCCAGCTCAGCTCGGGCGTCCAGCCCGGCGAGACGCTCGACGAGCGTTCGCTGTTTGGCTATGCGCAGATATCCATCACCGAATAGGACACGGAGTTGGCCTAGTTGGCCTCAGCTTAGCTCCAACTTCAGCTCCAGCTCTAGCTCCAGTTCCAGTTGCAAACCCCAATACGGTCATTTACCGTAACAATGCCTGCGCCGCTTTTTTTAAGCTATAGACTAGACTAGACTAGAGACTAGAGAACTATAACTGTAAATGCTAGTGTTATAGATTCTAAACGCCAGTCGTGTCGCGTTTACTATAGAAATTATATATGTATATCCTAATATAAAATCCATACTTATATACCATACTCTTATTTGTAACTCTCTCTCGCTCTCGCTCTGCGCATTGTAATTACTTCATTACTTCTTCCTCCTCTACCTCCCCTGCCGTAGTTAGTCGCAGCCAAAAGCACCCAAAAACTGCTAAAACTAGCTAAAAAAAAAAAATATCAACAAAAAATGAAAATGAAAAGAGAAAAAAAACCAAGTAAAATCGAAAATCGTGTACTTATTCGTTATTGTTTCGTCGTCTATAAGTAGCGCACTTTGCTCTGTATATACAAAAAAAAAAAGAAATAAATATATATATCTAATATACATATATATATATATATTTATATATATATATATATTTATATATATATATATAATTTAAACACTATCCATATATTTTGTTGAAACACCCGTATATATATATAATAATTTCGATAATTTGTTTTATTTATTCTCTAGCGATCTAAATTAGTTTAAGCCAACGTTTTGTTTATTTTCTTTTATGCTGTTTGTAGCCCCGTTAACTTTAAGTCGGCATTGTCAACAAGTACAGTTGGGTCGCCAGCAGTTAGTTATTAATACTGGTCTGCGAAAAATTGTATTTAATTTGCATGAAGTACACATAAAAACAAAAAAAAAAACACAAAAACCTACATTTTAGTAATGAATGTTAAACAAACATAAATATAGCATAAAAAGAAAAAAGAAAGAAATTTGAACAACAAACATCATTTTGTGTTATTATTGAGGGGCTTTCTTTGAAGTTTTATTTTGAATCGGCATTGATATAATTCAATATTTTCAAAATACAGTGCACGTTTGGAAATTTCAAGTTTCAATAATTGGAATATTACAGAAAATAGAAATTATTTATTTTTATTTTTAAACTCAAAATGAAATTAAAATCTTATTTTTTCTATTATCTTGTGTTTTACAACACATTAAAATATGATTTCTAAAATACATAGGAATTATCAAAGATTAGTTTAGAAAGACGTCTCTTTCATAAATTAGAATATCGCGCATATTTAAATCATATCGAAATCCGTAGCATTTTAATATCATTAAGCCTATAACTGCAAACACATTGCATTCCATACATTTTGTTGCTTCTTAAGTATATACTACTATATCTATTCAAATTTCGAAATCATCTAATTCTTTTTTCTTGAAGCTTTTATTCATCGTCAATCGAAATTGCGAAATCTGACTACGCAAATTGCCTGTATTCATTCAACACAGCTCAAGTTACAAAATACCTTATCGATAAATACAGTAAACACGAACTATGGAGTCTGTAGCAATCCCGAGATGCCAGTATATGCCTGTAAATTTAGAGACTAGTGAAAAACTTTTGAGAATAAACTAATCTTAGTGTTACACAAACATTTTAAATGCAAGGACCTCTTCAATATATGTATTCCTAGCTACTAAATACTAAGCCCTAGGCTCTACTGTACACAGTTAAGATCGAGTTCAAACTATAACTAACTGTACTTACTACATATGAGAGAAAATTGTATACGATTTGATTTGACATTGAAATAAAATGGCATTTGGCTTCACAAACCCAAAAAAAAAAAAACAGAAAACGTTATTTTCCAGAACTGTGAGAAAATCTTTATATTTTTTGATATTTTTCAATTTCGTGATACGCCTTCTTGCAGCCTCTTGGAATTAACAATGGCTGATTATTTTGATGAACTGGGACATACGCCCACTGGGCCTGAGGGCGCCAACGATTATGAGCGACATCATCGTCGCCTCCAGGTGCTGGCCATCATGAATGGCATCGATATGGAAATCGAGGTGCCGGAGGCATCCAAGCGGGTCATAGCCCAGTTGCCGATCCACGAAATTGCCGCCGAGGAGGTTAACGACGATTTCGAGTGCTCCGTGTGCAAACAGCCGGCGGAGGCTGGCGATAAATTCAAGATCCTCCCGTGCAAACACGAATTCCACGAGGAGTGCATTATGCTCTGGCTAAAGAAGGTATACAAATATTTAATATCTAGTTTGACGTTCAATTGTCATTTTATACACACTCCACTCTTTAGGCAAACTCCTGTCCCATTTGTCGCTACATCTTTGTAAGTATTGAGCTTTGTATGTTATATGCACATTTTCTGATTATTTTGCGCAATTTAGGAGACCGATGATGAGGTATATGAGGAACTACGTCGTTTTCAGCAGGACGAGTCCAATCGTCGGGATCGTCAAAATTCTCTGCTGGATTCCATGTTTGGTTAAAGACAACAATTACTTCAATTTGTAATTTTTCTGGGTATGGTGTTATTATTGGTGTGTGCTCTAAAAATAAATATGTTTCTTAAAAGCAGAAAAACCCCCGTTTTTGTCAAATAATTGTTATCCTATGATAAACACCCAAAGTAAGTAAGAATTTAACCGATAACTGTAGAAATAAGACAACATTTTATAACAGTTTATAAAAGCTTGTAAGTTGTTCACAGCTGATGCTTGTCAAGAAATTATACTCAAAAATCAAGGTGTAGTAAAAAATGTGTGTCACATGTGTTACTCTTACATATCACATAACGTAAAATACATATATATTTATATATTTAATTTAATCATTATATAAAACATCCACCTACTTTATTTAAGAATTAAGCTGACCTTTTTATATTTGTTAACAGCTTATCAATATTTGATTTGAGCATGAACTTCACTAAGAACTGACTCTTGAACGGAACTAGTGATCTGTTTGAACTTACTCAACACTGTTGTCTATTAGGATTATTACACACTTCAGTTTAACCGGCTCATTTACTTTTCTCATTCGTTGAAGTCGCATCGGAGTAAATCTTTCTTTTCGCATAGGTTTTGTATTGATTGAAAGAAAAAATAAAAATAAAAACATAATTTAAGAAAGATGATCACCGACGACGTCGGTGTTAAGTTATTCGATCGCAAATTTGTCGCAGCCAATTTGCGTAGCCAATTGTGCTGCCCAAAATGCTCCTGCGAATATTTGCACACTTATTTTGCCAAAGATGGACCAGAAGGTAAGAGACTAAAATCAGTATTAAAATTATTAATTGCATATCTCTAAATAAACTCTACATAAAATTGTCAGACTGCTGTGACAAAAAATTGCATCTGCATACATCTGTATGTATTGTGCGTAATTCTGTGTGTGTGCTCAACTGACAAACCGTTATTTTGCGTCTGTACGCAACGTTTCTTTTTTCGCCTCTGCTTTGTGGTTCTAAACAAAGCACAGAATTTAATTCATTTCTGCTTCTGAGAATTTTGTCTTTTCGAGGACAAGTAAAATAATTCCATTCTGAAGTCACCATTTACCAAACCGTACAAAATATTAGCAAAATAGAAAAATCAAATGAAATTATATTCTTGTTAAATTGCATTTCTTGACAGCGAGTCATCGTCCATTTCTGTTGCCTTGCGGCCACAATATGTGCGAATCGTGCATTTTAAAGCAAGGCCAGCAAACGGACTTCAAATGCGCCGTTTGCCTCAGCCCTGCACAGCCAACGATTAATGCCAAGGATCCGAATCGCAAGCGGGTGGGCACCATACGCGACTATTACGAGCTCAACCATCACGTGATGGGCGAGACGCAGAGCCTCGGCTATTATCGCCGCTACTCGGTAGAGTCGGTGAACAACTCGCTGCTGATGTGCTCGGTGAACAACACGAGCGAGATTGTGCTGGAGACAAAGTGTAGCGAGTGCGGCTGTGTGGCAGCGAGAGTCGAGTGCAAGCAGTGCAACGCCTTTTACTGCAAATGCTGCTTTGAGACCGTACACAGTCACAGTCGCGTCCTCAAATCGCACATCTTTCAGTGTCTCGACGACGATAAGAGTCACCCCGAGAAAGGCATTTGCGTTGGCAAGGAAATCTTTCATATGCCCCTCCGTCTAATATGCCATGCGCACAATGCCCCAGCAAACATCTACTGTACCAAATGCCAACGCAACTGCTGCGAGCAGTGCTCTGTGAAATATCATGGCAATCACAAAAAATGCCTAGTGGCCGAAATGGTAAGTTTGAGTCAACATCTTACATAGAAACACTTGCAGAATGAATTGGACATATTTTATATGGATTGATATCAATATAAACAAAAGTTATAATTACATAATAGAGCGCAAGTGGAAATAGGAACTTTGCTAATTCAATATTTTGCAATTTGTAAAATTCATTAAGTGTGATTACTTAAAACAAAATACTTAAAAATCGAAAATTTAAAATATTAAAAAAAGGGGAAATTTTAACAATTTTTTCCAATGATATAATTGGAATATAATATGGGAGCTTGCCTAATGGTGACCTATTTATTACAGTCATATCATATAGTTTCCATTGAAAATATCACCTTTTTGTTCTTTTAATTAAAAGTCTATAGTTTACCTCATTCATGCAAGGGTTTAAAATTGAGATTAGAAATGTTTTACTAATCAATACCAATTTATTTTTTAGAATCAACGTTATGTTGCCGAAGTGCCAGCTACTATTCAATCTTTGGAAGCTGGTCTCTTGCAAATAAAAAATGCACAGATGGTGAGTAATAGAAAGTAATTTGATAATTTATTACTTAATACTTGGCTTTTATTTAATTACATAGTATGGGTTTCTATAGTTATATAGATAGTTTATAGTTTCATTTACAGTTAGCTATTTACAGTAATCGCTTGCTATGAATAATTTAAGGCGTACAAACAACAAACGACAAACAAGTACAAGAATTCTCATTACAAATATGGCAAGCATTCTCTCCTAACCAGGCTTATTGCTCTCATTCACTACAATCGCTCATTCTCTCTTTCTCTGTCTCTGTCTTTGTCTCGCTCACATGCTACTGACAATGGGCATTAATTGTCCCGTTTTTCCATCCGTCTTAATCTCAATCACTTCGAGCTTCTCAACGCTCACTTTTGTCGTCTGGACTTGTTTTTGAGCCGCTGCCGCATTTGTGTCCCGCAGGATTTGTAGCTTGTTCTCCTCCTCCACGCTGCTCTCCGGCGGCTCACCATCCAGCACGAGTTGCGGCTCTGGTTCAGGCTCCGTATCGAGCTGTGTCTCTGGTTGGGCTTCCAGCTCTGTTTCTGGTTCTGGCGTGGAAGGCACAACAATGGGCCTTCGGTTAAAGGATTGTCCGTCCTCTGCCGTTGTCGTGGGCACCATTATGGTCGTTGGCGCCTGGCCGTAGGTGTCGTAGGTGCCGCGCTCTGAGATGTCATCGATCTCATCGTCGATGAGCAAGTTACGCTCCGAGCTCTGCTCATAGACCTGGGCATTAATGGCGCTGCCATGTTTGGGCTCCGGCTTGTGATTCTTGGGCATGGCTGGATTGGATGCCGCTTCCTCATTTCGTACTGTGGGCTTCTCCGCCTGCTCGTCAGCCTTGCGCTGCTTCTCGAGGCGCATTTTCTCCTCCATTTCCTGGAACTTCATGGCCAGGTATCTGCAAAAGAAATGTATTCAAATTTGTACATACAATTATTTTTGCCAGCATTTACTTATCCACAATGGGTCCATTGTAGTCCTCGGGGAATTTCGGATTGAAGGGCAATATGTATTTATAGAGACGTTCGTTCAGCACATAAAGCTGGGATGTCGTCGAGCACTTGACATTAAACCACCAGTCGCAGGTCAGAGCAATCTGTGCAGAAGAGATTAGTCTTTAAGTTGGGGTTTGTCTTTGGTAAGTTTTGGTAAGTTTGTACTTGACTAAAGATGGTGCCGTTGGGGCACAGAAAGGAGGCTTTGCCGCCATTGAGATCACAGTAGTGCCACACCTGGCAATTGGTCTCCGGATCCCCAAAGAAGCCCTTGTAACGCTGCTGCGTACACTCAAAACTGGTCTTCGGTATCTGTGCATAGTTGGGATAATCGATGCCAGCACGCCCAGTGCTCGGACCCGGATGCTTGTCTAAGTGCAGATAGATGAAATTAGATTAATATATATTTGAAATCCAGTCTAAACTAGTCTGGTTAACTGGTTGTATTTCAACTCACTCGGTCCGCTCAGATGCAGGAGATCCGCATCGACATTTCCCGCCGTTTTAATTGCCGTCGAATGAGGCTCCTCTTCGCTGCCCGTGGTGTAGTCATAATCGTGGCTGTTGCCGCTGCTGCTGGGCTTGGTCTCATGATGCTGGGGCGGATTGGGCACAATGGTTTGCGTCTCCTTTAGATTCTGCAGGATGCGTATCAGTGTCTTGATCGAGTTGTCAATGTTGTTCGGCGTAAGGGTTTGCGGCAAATGATTGCTCGCCTGCAGCTTGTGCAGAATCTCTGCCAGCGATGAGGTGCGTATATCGGGCAGTTGATCCGCTTCATCATCTGTAGCTGTAGCTGTAGCTGTAGCATACACCTCACTTGGTGTGGACTTGGGTGGAGCTGGCTGCCGTTCATTAGCATATTTGTGAATGGGCTTCAGTTTCTGGGGAACTGTTCGGCTGGGCAGATCGCTGCTGGGCGGCACTGACGGCGGCCTGCTAGACACATAGACATATTTTGGGGTGATCTTGACCGTCTCACTGGGCGTTGGTGGACTGATGTACACGGGTCTCCTGGTGGCCTGATAGTTGTGCACTGGCGTCACCGGTTGCAGTCGCAGCGTTGGCTGCTGCTTGTAGCGAACGGGCGGCCGAGTGGGCGGCAGATCATGCAACCTTGGCGGCTGATGGGCGGGATGATCGATGTAGGGTGCTGTTGTGGTCACCAGTATATATGCATGCTGTGGCGGACGCGATGGTGGCACCTGCAATGGCTGATGTGGGTGTGGTTGCTGATGTGGATACGGATGTGTGTGTTGCTGCTGATGCTGCTGTTGCTCCTCGTCCAGCGACTGACGCGGCCCGTCAACAAGGTAATCGATGAAGTGAGTTGGGGCAGGCGTCCTTTGCAAGAAAATTGGAGACGGATTAAGAATGATTTTCGCTTAAAATCTTGCGTGGAATTCAAATTAATTCAACATAGAAATTATTTGAAAATGAATAACTTCACTTCCACTTTTAAGATGGTTGGCTTGGAATAGCAGTAATAATAAAAGGAATTTATTTGAATATATTAATTTTTTGATGCAAACCTCAGAACATATGATCAAATGTTGTCCATTCTGTTAGATTTGTACTTATTACTTAACCAGAGGACGGGAGCAAATGTTTAAGCAGGGATGGGAGTGGAACGTGTGTCAACTTACCCGAGCAGCGTATCCTTTGGCTGCTCATGCAGCTGGCCTATAAGGGCGCGCAAGGGAATATGCAACACTTGTTGCTGCTGGTGGCCAGCCTGAGCTGCCTCCGGGCGGCCAAAGAGCCCATTGTAATTATGTAACTGAGTGTGGTGGTGTGGCGGTGGTGGTGGTGGAGGTGTTTGTGGTTGTGGTGGAGATTGTTGTACATGCGTATGCGTCGTGTGACTGTGTGAGAGTTTGCCAGCTTTCGTATTGCTTTGCGCTGACTGATGATGATGTAAGTCATCTGCGGGATGATGATACTGCTCTTGTTGATGATGTTTCGATTGCTGCTGGTGCTGATGCTGCTGCTGCTGGTGCTGCTGGCGCTGTTGCTTCATTCGCTGTTGCAAATAGAGCACGTATTTCTCCTGCGGCGTCAATTGCTGTTCCGGCGACATATTGAAGTAACTCTCGTATTTGCCCATGTGGACATATTCCGGCGACTTTTGGTGTACTATCAATGCGGTTTTTGTCGATGATGTTGATGACGATGATGATGTTTGTGATGTGGCAGAGGAAGATGTGGTAGCTGTTACCACAGCTGGCTCATTGTAGTCATTATAGCCAACACTGCGGGGCATGCAAAAAGCTTATGAGTAGAGTATTCTGTGTGTGTGTGTGTGTGTGGGGATATGTGTGGGTTGCCAAGGGTACGGGCTGCTAAGGCTTGTAAAAATGCCTACGATAGATGGCTGCTGAGAGACCTGTAGCTGACACATTGTTGTGTGTTGACCAATGCCCGCGGTTGTTTATGACATGATTTTGCAATTTGAACATGACGAGAGATGAACACGACGACAACGAAGAACACGAGCCGCTCTCATCAATATTGTGGGCAAAATCCACCCGCCCCGCCCGCTTGGTGAGCGCCTTTGGGCAGCACCTCGTGGGGTACATCAAACAGCTTCTTACGTCACGAAAGCAGCAGCAGAAACAGAGCTTAAGCCATGCATTAAATGCAATTGAATTCTAGGCCCAGGGGCATTGCACGCAGCGTGTGCAACGTCTGCCGTGTTGCGGCCCGCCCCTCTTTGCTTGTTGCACAGCACAGCTTTAAGTTCTTATTTTATATCGATTATTTTGAGCATTATTCGCCTTTAGATGAATACTTTAAAAGTGGGAAATCAGTTTGTTTTCTTCTTTTGATAATGATTGGACTTGTAATATAATACAATCATTTAAATTGGGAAACAATGTTTTCACACGAAACTCCTTTTACAATTCCGACCCAAAACAACGATTCAAACTTTGTGAAAAAGCAATGGCTTTTCAATAATGGTTTGACTTCTAGTAAAATACTAAAATTAAATTTAAAAGCACAGTTTTCGCTCAAAATTAATTTGGAAATTCCAATCACGTTGATGAAAATGAGGTTTGGACATTATTAAAAATACATAAAAAGTGTATATGGAGTTATTATACACTTTCGCATTGTCACCGAACTGGCTGTGAAACATTTTTAATTTATTTACTACGTGCCATGCAACGATGATGATGCAACATAGCCACGACAGTTGCGGGCAGTGGGCGGTGTGGCAGCTTATAAGAATCTTGCATCGTTGAGATCAACTACTTAATGCCAATGCTAGACATGTATCTGACAGAGAAGTTAATGCAAATATCAGCATGAATTATACAGATACACAGCATATAAAGGAACTCTTCTTTTTTGTTGGCTTTGCTATTCGCATGTTTTACCTTGGCGTTGGATGCATCGGCTTCTCCTGCTGCTGTTGCGCCTCCTCCTCTGGCGACTGTGAATCCGACGATGCATAATCCGTAACAATTTGTGTTGGATGGGAATTTTTATGGTAAACAATTTCTGATGGCGACTGGTTTTTGTTGTAATTGATTGGGTTGCCATTATGCAGGTCATTGTTGATGTTGTTGTTGTTGTTGCTGTTGCTGTTGCTGTTGCTGTTCAACTTGCTTAGTGGCGTATAAATAATGGGTATAAAGTGTCCCGGCAACGTATTCTGCGCTGTAAACGGCGTTAAATTGACTTTTGATTGTTTGCCACGTTGCCGATGAAATTGCAGCAGCTGTGTTTGCGACGGTGGTGGCAACAAATCAAACTGCTCCTGATGCTGCTGTGGATGCTCCTGTTGCTGCTGGGAGAGTGGCGGAAAATGCTGCACAGTCTTTTGCTGCTCATAGTATATAGTATATTATGAATTAAACGATTATTTGTCTATGTTTATTTATACTACTACTACTAGTACTTGCCTTGTGCGTTGGGTTCAATGGCTTGTAGGCAATAAAAGTGGCGCCCGCATCTGGAGACGACGATGCCGTCTCCTTGCCATGACCAGGTGGCAATGGTGGGCCATGTGGGCCACCAATAGCCAGCGCATGATACACTTCAGCTGCGCCAGACTGATAATGCTGCAGCGGCTGCTGGTGCTGATGGCTCTGCTTTGGGTGTGGATGTGGATGTGGCATGTAAGCAAGCGGTACGGCAATGCGGCTGGGATGTCCTGCTGTCGCCGGCGCTAGAAGCTGTGCGCCGCCAGCAGACGATGAGTGCTTGACAGCATATTGCTGATTGATCGGCAACTCCGGTGCGGGCAAATAGAAGGCCATATAGGGTATAAGTCGGCGATTACGTTCCGAGGCGCTCAATTCGGCGTCTATTGCAAGGGCGCCACTGCGGTTGTTGCCACTGGCTGCGGCATGGGTCAGCTGCATCAGGCAAACAACTGCAATAAAATCAATAAAAGTTTTATTGGATTAGTAACCCGAATAGTGCAAGGTAAAAGTTGATTATTTGTCACATCAAATAAGATTCAAGATATTAATGCATATAATCATAAAAGTCGAGTTTAGGCAAGCAGCCAAATAACTACAATACACTGCACAAAATTCAACATTTCTCGACAAACATTCACGTTTATTAAAATTGATTAGTATATGCCACATATAAAGCTAAAATATCCTTTTATAAGTATGTTTTCTAAATTAGCTCTTTACATTTAATAATTTTCGAAAACGCAGCGCATTTAACAATATATTACAGAGCTCATAAATCTAATCTTAAGGTCGAATATATATATATATATATATATATCTTCTACTGCCTGCATTTGCACAGCTTCATTACAATTTCTTCATGCTTATCGACACAAATGAAATGAAGACAAGACAATTATTTTTTTTATATTTGAATTAACTTAAGGTTAAAACTGAGCTTTTTAACCGTACACTACAAATTAGTTAAATAAAATATTACTCGAAACTGAAGCAAGTGTAAAACATTATTGCTTTTGTTGATGTTGCTGCTGTTGTTCCTGTTGCTCCTGTTGCTTCCCGAAGCACAACCAAGAACACTGAAGTATCTGGCATAGAGTCCATCTGGTCGCTGCCTTCGGATCGAGCAGGAAAGAAACTGTGGCCTTGGCATGTGGCGAGATCACATCACATAGTTTACGGCGGAATGCGTACTTTCTTGTCTGTTGATCATCCAACAACTTGTTCAGATTGTTATCATCGAACGGCATCTTGCCATTCAGCATTATAAACAATATGACACCCAGCGACCAGACATCCGCTGCCTTCGGATCGTAGGGTACTCCGCGAACAATTTCGGGCGATGCATAGGCGGCGGAGCCGCAGTAGGTATTCGATATATACTGGTTTCCGTTGTCGTTGACGCAGGAGCAGGCAAAACCAAAATCAGCCAGCTTCACATTGAAATGTGCGGACAACAAAATATTCTCGCATTTGAGATCTCGATGGGCAATTTGAAAACTGTGCAAATACCTCAAGGCTGTCGCCATCTGATAGAACCAAATCTTGGCCTGCTTCTCCTCAACAAAACCGACTTCCTTAATATGCTCCAAAAGATCTCCTCTCTCGGCGTAGCGCATAAATATAAAGTTCTTCGGACCGCGCTGCAGAATGCTGTGAATCTGTATGATATATCGATGATCAAGTTTTGTCAACACATCCAGCTCGCGTGGCAAGAACTTCATCACAAAATCATTGGGCGCCTTTGCCATGTCGACCACCTTACAGGCTAATTTAAGATTGCGGCCAATTCTGTCATCGAAATTCGCATGGACAACCATCGCATGCGAGCCCTCGCCGATCTTGCTGCCAAGTGTGTAGCCCTGTTTGGCCAGGGCGTGAATATCTGAGCAGCAAGTGGCCGGCAGCGGGGAGCTAGTCTCATTATTTATCATGGTATTTATGTGTTTGTGACTGCAAAATGTGTGTGTATTTGTGATATGTGGCACATTTAACTAAACATTGGCTTCTTTGACCGAACGTGAATTGTGTAAAAATGTAACGAAAAATTCCTATTTTAAATTCGGAAATTTTGACCAATTAAAAGTGTAACAGAACAAAGACAAATAAATGTTTATAAGCTCTCTTTGATCAAGTAAACTTTGTCTACTATGACCTCCGAGAGAGGACAGAGTATCTTCTGGGACCAAGTTTCTTAAAAAAACTATAATGCGATTGTGAAACCACTGATGGCGAAGCGTCCTCATCAAGGACGCCTCTTCTGCAAAAGTATACATGAAAACATATTTACTGACTAACTGATTAACTAACTAAGGATTGACTTGAAAATCTAAATATCTTCCAGAAGAGGGTTCGAAAAAAATTGGTTAATTTATATTGAAAACATCTACAAAAAAAAAGAGTAGTTCTTTCTATTGACATAAAGAATGTGGTCGAACTTTGAAGAATGCTGCCATCATAGCTAAAGTTAATAAAACAGTTTTAACTTGTTTTCATATACATTTGATATATTTTAAAAATGTGTTCGACCCGAGTAGACATGGGCTTTTGAAACAAAATTTAATATAATTACAGTTTGGAGTGTTCAATATTTATTATCTACTTTTACACAACGTTTATAATTTCTTCAAAATTTCTGGAATAGACATATGTTTTTTCAACTCTATATAACCGTACCATCAAATTCAAGTGTAGCGAGTAAATCAAACACAAAGGTAATTATGCCAATTGAAAAGAGATCATCGCCATCTGATTATATTATTATGATCGATCGCAGCTGGTACAAAAAATAGTTTACATAGTAGATACGGCTGGGATTCCACTATAAAAATGACCAGTTATGCGGGCAGTCGCCAGGTGACCACACGCAGCTCGGACATTGATGCATTGGCTCAGCGTGGATACAACATTGGACACAAGATCGGTGAGGGTTCGTATGCGACTGTTATCACCGCTGGCTATGCGGACGAGAGTGGACATGGCGTGAATCTAGCGTGTAAGATTATTGATAAGGCAAAGGCGCCCACCGATTTCGTGCACAAGTTCTTTCCACGCGAGCTGGAAATCTTGACGAAACTGGATCATCCCCATATCATACAGATACATAGCATTCTGCAGCGCGGCCCAAAGATCTTCATATTCATGCGCTATGCCGAGAAGGGCGATATGTTGTCGCACATTAAGAAGTCCGGCCCCATCGATGAGACACAGTCGAAGGTGTGGTTCTTTCAGATGGCGAAAGCTCTAAAATACCTGCACTCCCATGATATCGCCCATCGTGATCTCAAGTGCGAGAATATTCTACTTTCCAAGCGTCTCAATGTTAAATTGGCTGATTTTGGTTTTGCTCGATATTGTCGCGATGCAATCGGATCAGAGCTGAAGTCGGAAACATATTGCGGCTCCGCTGCCTATGCAGCACCGGAAGTTGTTTGCGGCGTACCCTATGATCCCAAGAGGGCTGACGCCTGGTCGCTGGGCGTCATATTGTTTATTATGCTAAACGGAAAGATGCCATTCGATGATAGCAATCTGACCAAACTGCTGGAGGATCAGCGCAGCAAGAAATATTCGTTTCGCCGCAAACTGCACGATGTAATCTCATCTCATGCCAAGAGCACAGTGTCTGTCCTGCTCGAGCCGAATTCAACAGTTCGCTGGGATCTGAGCGAGGTGCTCAACTGCGACTGGCTGCAATCGGTCAACGATCGACGTCCGTCAGTCTCCTCTTAATGGGTGGAATTAAAGTGGAAATTGATCTTAATTGCTATTCATAATAGTATATTTATTGATATAATTGTATACGAATCCCTTATATAATAGTAGTTGGGTAAATTATTAGTAAACCCTGCCACCAACCCCACATTAAATGAGGTATAAATTAAAAATTGTCAAGAGTATTACTGCCTCTTGCATTTTGGCCCCTTTTTTTTGTTGCAACCATCGAAGTCGAACAATTAAAAGACTTCTGTGGAGACCCAACGAAGCCTAACCACAGGCCACAGACCACAAACAGACTACTGTCATAACCGTTCACGACAACCTATTATAAAATATGAAAGCATTAGCCAAATTTTAACATATTTCGTCATATTGTTTATCATGCATTTGTGTGTTGCAGATAAATTCAAAGTCCAGCGCTTAGTGAACCGAGACGTGGCAAGCCAAAAACCCTAGAGATGTACTAAACTTTTTGGTTACCACAGCCATTAAATTCCAATTTATGATAGTGAAAAATTGAAAAAGCTACTAAATGTAAACTTGCTAATTAAATATTGTATTTTGTATGTTGTATCGATCAAAGTATTTCAATGGAATGCCGAAGCTTATTTGCCAGGTCCATCTCTAGGCATGGCTTACTGGTGCTCTTTGCCAACCGTGTCCTGGGCGGCATGTGTTGCAAACATGCAAACTTGCAATTGGCAGCCATGACAACGGGGCAAACATTAACAACGACAAAGGCAACGACAACGACAACGGCAGTCTCTAGACGACAGTCGTACACCAAGTGTCTGAAACTACGAGCTAAATCGCTGCTCTGGGGGTAGATGATTTGCGTTGGAGTGCGGGCAGCTTAAGTGGCTGCTCCCGACCACACAGTCTCTAGCTGGCCAGGCCTGACTTCGTTTGGCTTGGTTTGGCTTGGCTTGGTTTGGCTTGGCTTGGCCTGGCCTGGCCAGGCCTCAACTAGTACATGCCTCAGACAGATAGTGTGACATGTGGTGTAGAGTGTACACCCAGTGAACAACTAGGAGGCAGGAGGCAGCAACAGCTACCTGAATTTTGGCCATATTCAGACTTAATTTTCTATCAAAATGGTCTTATTTGATGTTGCTGTTGTTGTTGTTGGTGTTGTTAGCTTCGTTAGTTGCAGTTGTTTTGTGGTTTTTCTTTATACTCTCTTGACAGTGTTTCTATTTTACGACTCTTTTGTTCAAGTTTGCAGCTGCAGCTCGCATCGGTTTAGTTTAAGCACATCGGTGTACACCTGTGCGTATGCGTAATGCAATTTTGAATTAATTAATATGTGCCTGTGTGCGTGTGTGTCAGTGTATGTGTAGGAATCCATTTGTCCATCGCTCCATTCGCCTGTGGCACTTAACTGTTGTGCATTGGTTTATCTATCTGCCTTTGCTCAGATTTTCCCCTCCATCCACACACACACACACACAGCTTGGCTGCTTTCAAATTAATTTCCAGGCAACGTGTCGTTTTATGGGTGAATCATCTATGGACACATTTTTGATGTTATTGCAACGGCTTATTATACGGATCCCCTTTCTGCCTGCCATATTAGAAGCTGTGTGTGGAAAGTTGCTCGGCAACTTCCGTTCACTTTTGTGTATCTCTTATCTCTTTGGCTTGACAAATCTTATTTTTGTCTTTTATTGCACTGTTTTCATCTTTGGCGCAGTTGGCTCGACTGGAATTGCCTGGCAAAAATACAATCAAAGTCTAATTGAAATGCATCAAAATCACAAATAGTCCATTATAAACAAATAAATAAACATTTTTATTAACTGCTGTTAATTGATATCAAATGCAATGAACTGGGATTGCAAACAACTTTTTATATCAATATATAAAATGTATCTTTAATACATATGTTGAAATAAATGTTAGATATGCTTGCAAAAAGTCTTGCTTTAAATTGAGCCAGCGCTTTTTATCAGTCCTTGCTTATTTATTTCGAAGTTTTTCCAAAAATATATGTCCGAAAACTATTAATATATATTTTTTTTTTAACATTTTTGGCGGCGTCCGCTCAACATTTTTTGATAATTGGAAGGTGTGGCAGAAGCACGCATATTTTGTATACGTAGTTGGTCAAATGTACTTCTCACATGTCTCCAACACAACCATTTCAATTACATGTAGACACGCACTGGGGCAAATAGAGTGTGCGGAAAATGCAATTAGGCGCACAATCCAAATAAACCGACCCTACCAGAAAAAATTGAGCGTGACAGCAGCCTCCGCTTTCGACACACACACACACATGCATCCCACCCCACCCCACCCCACCTTAATATGAAGTTTAGAGTTTGATTCAATGTTGTTTCATTGTGCCATGGTTCAGTGTTCATTGTTGGTATTGCATTTTAAGCCGTTGTCAGTTGGTTTATGGCTAAAACACATTAAGCGAACCGCATAAAAACATTTTCGCCGCACCGCCAAAAACACCAACGTCAACATCATCATCGCTGCAGTTTTCATAGCTTACTGGTGCGTTCCAAAAATGCCAGCTCTACCCATGCTACCCATGATACCAACACATATACATATACATATACATACTTAGATACAGATACAAATATGTGTGTAGATACAGATAAGCGCGTTATTTGCCAAGCACTTTTGCGCACATTTTGCATAACATTTGCCAATGAATTGTGAAGCGCTTCTTATTTGCTGAAATTTTGATGTGATTTTTGGAAATGTCAGGTGCGCAGCTTTATATCCTATCCCCCTCCTTATCCAATATATCAATGCTCATTGCTGCTGTTATTCAACTGCACTGGTCGCGGGGTTAATAGGCGTGCACCTGGCCCGGAGGCAAAACATTTCACGCTTTTTCGACATTTCTGGTGCATAATTTGATTAGATTTTGATACATCGCACAAATTGTTTTCGTCGATTTGGCAGTTAAAGTTGGGTTTGAGGTTGAGGCATATATTGAAGTGTAGTGTTGGAATTGGTCTGGCATTGGCATTTGGTCTGCGTTTCCGGCCTGTTTTGCAAATTTGATTTGATTTTGACCAATGTTTTGTGGTGTTTCTCGCATGCCTTGCACACTTTTCACAAAATGCAATTAAATACAAATTTATTGCGTCAATATTTACTTGAGCGCAAATGAATTTTAATTTTGTCACCGTCGCCATTTTGTGATTTTGGCGATTTCATCGCCAAACGCCTGAGGTCAGTGCACGAAATAAGCTCCACGTACACAAATTAAACTTGGCTAACATTTTGGGGTACCTCTTCAAAATTATAACAGGCAGACGTAGCAGGTTTGTCTGCTGTTGTATTCTTGTTTTCTTCATTGTGGCTATTTTTGGCTTAAATTATGTGCTGGCCACAAGCGTGTTCCAACTGCAACTGCAACAGTTTCTTCAATTACAATCTCCCACCTCCAGTTCCCACAAATTGCAGGCTGTTTTGGCCACTCTGGTTGCACATGCGCCTTGCACACTGCCAATCTTTTGACACGAGTCTCGACTTGGGTTCACGCAAATTATAGTGTCCGCAAAATGCAATAAGATTGCTTACAAAAAAAAAACGAAACAAAAAAAAAAACAACTATATATTAGCCAGCTTTTAAAGTGCGACCAATTCCGATTGCAACTAACGTAGCTTAGCTAAAAGTGACTCTGTGGGATTAGCAGTTCAGCAACTAAATTATAAATCATTTGATGCATTTGCATAAGCTTGCTAGCAGTATAATTATATATCATTATAAAAGATTTTTGGCAATGTCCGGGCAGTCAAAGCTTGCTATCATCTTATAATTTTGAGCTTACATAAATTAACATAAATGAAAACAAATTTGTATAATATTACAGATGATATTTTGTGCCTGGGTAAGTTGTAAAAAAAAAGTATATAAATTCAGACATTAAGAGACGAAAAAGAAATAAATGCTCATTAATCGTGTGAATTTCATATATTAGATCCCATTATATATATATTTGAAATTGTTTCTCTAAAATTTGTTAGCACAGCAGAATATTCCCTTTCACAAGATTAAATTAAGAGTAGAGGATCGAAATGAATAATATAATAACGCAATCGAAAAAGCGTGTTTTCAACAAAAAAAAAAAAGAAGCAATTTTCGAGTATACAAAATAATTCCGTTAATAGCTTCTGTATTTTATTTGATTCAATCAGTTAGCATCATAAGAAAGCTTGACTCTTGTTATACAAAAAAAAAAATATATATATATATATTTATTAACTGTGGGTATTTATTTTATTTGGCTAAATTTGATGGAACCAGCTCTTACCGAATAAGGGGAATTTTGGGGAATTTCCTCACATAAAGTTCTTGAAAATATTCCAACAAATTATTATTAATGAATGCTTCAGCTTAATTGCGTCTGTCCTTGACTTTTTGTATAAAATAAAATCTCAAATCTATAAATAATAGTTACAGGTGTTTGGAGATACTAAGATAATCATTTATCTTAACCAAAGTTCAGAAATACGAGTTTGTGTTCAGTTTACACTTGGAAAGCGAATGTTCACATTGTGACCGCTATTATTATAATTTCAATTTGTGTAATGGGAAAAAAATAAAACAAAAATGTTGAATTGTTTGTTGATTTCCACGTTTTCCTCTCGGCCATGCAAGAAAAGTGAATGGGTATGTTGTTTTTTTTTTTGCTTTGAATTGTAACATTTAGTTTCGTTAAATGTCGCAATGTGGTCCCGTTTGCTGACTCTCCAGTCCCGCCACCGCCACCGCCAGTGGCACCCCAGCCATTCAAAAGCATTTTAAACTGACAAACGCCCAATTGAGAAACGCAGCTAATCAAATTGCGTTCATCAATGTCAGAAGCGACACGGTGGCCGGCCCGGGTGGCTGGAGAGGAATTTGGGCACGTTGTCAACTTTAGAACTGTGTGCAATTGAACGGAAACGTGAATGAGCTCAATTTGTAAATAGTTGGTTACACAAATGTTGGGGTTGCCTTATTATTCGTAAAATCTGAAAACGAGTTTCATTAATTTTCGATGGAATGCAACCGTTTTTCTATTTTCAAGTACAGCTTTAATTTTAGATACAATTTCGAATTTTTGGCATGTAAACAATCAGTTGCCTGTTGCCTAAGATGCCCCCATTTCCTGCTCCGTTTAAACTGTTGTTGTTTGATTGTTGTCTTATCGGCGAGCGTTAATTG